TAAGCAATGGAAGATAGGAAGCAGGTGGTAAGATAGATACAAAAGGTCAGAGTAAGCAGTAAAATAAAATTGGTAGTAGTAGATAGCAGTAACAGAAAAAAACCAACTAAGAAAAGGATAAATAATAAGAAATAGAGATTAAATTAGAGGGAAGAAAAAGAAAAAATAGTACAGAAACAAGTTTAAAAAGAGTGAAAAAAAGAGACAAAAAAGAGGGACCTATTCAAACAAAACAATGTAATATTTAAAAGAGGAACAAGAAAATGGGTGATAAAACTCCAAAGGCCACCAAAAGAAAAAAAAAAAATTAAAATAGAGGAGAAAGAAAAAAATCTAGGTCAAACAAAGAGTTAAGAAAGAAAGAAAAAAGAAAGGAAGAAAAATTCCTCTGTATTTCCAGAAGTGCGTCTTTCTTCCAGTGGCTGCAGTCTTCTGTTCCACAAGTCACAGTCCTGTATAGCCCTCGGGCTTGTGTGGGGATCTCTGATACAGCAATAATAGGCAGTAAAATAGCCCCTTGCCTTGCCTTTGCCTTTCCTCCGTGTTTTATTCCACAAAATATTATGCTCCAGAAATGTAACAGTTTGTGCTGGGTAGCGCTCAGGCCCAATGTATCAAAATGTTTTGTAATTGTTTGAACTTTCTGACCTCTCAAGAAGGTTCTGTTTAGGCCAGGGATTTAGCTCAGTGGGGCCGGCGCCTGCCTGGAAAGCTCAAGGTTCCGAGTTCGATCCCCAGTACCAAAAAAAAAAAAAAAAAAAAAGAATGTTCTGTTAGCTCCACCCGCTTAGAGGAGTGTTCTGTTAACTCTGCCCCTTTTAAGAATGTTAGCTCCACCCCTTTCAGGAACGTTCTGTTAACTTCTCCCCTCTGCTTTTTTTTTTTTTAACTATACAGAATATGAAGGTTTATTTCAAAAAAGATTACATTTTCTTTTTGCTTCTGTGCCAGCTCCCAATGGCTTTCAGGAATGTTCTGTAACTCCGACTCCCCTGCGTCAGTGAGCATGCTCCCCTGCCCCTTGATCCCTACGTAAGGAGGCCTCCATTTCTGGTGAAGTGCTCAGACATTGGAAGATGAACTCCTCTGAGCCTGCTGGTGTAATAAAAGGTTTTTCTCCACCTCTTTGAGTGATTTTTGGATTTTGGAGTCTTCAAATCTGGGAGCTGCAATCCAGAGCTGTATCACTCAACTGTGCTTCAGTGCTGTGGCCCTTGGCTATGACACTGAGCTGTAACATTTGGCTATAGCACTGAGCTGTTCCGCTTTGCCACAACACCTCTTTCTGTAAACCCTGTGTGGCAACTGTCAAAGCAGGGACACAGGTCCAGGCAAGGCATGGGGCTTTGTGTCCTCAGGTTTCAGTCGTGGATTCCTGCTGGTTGGGGTCCAACGCTGGGCACTTGATGTATAATATTCCAGGGTCCTTGGGACCAGCTCAGAACACTACATGGAGGCTTGTGGAGACCCCGGACGCATATGGGGAGATTGCCAGGGCCCAGAGAGGGTGCAGGACCCAGGCTAGGGTCACACGGGTGTCCGGGTGGACCTTTAACCCTTGCTGCAGACCAGGCAGTGGCCTGGCCTAGTGCCTGGCAGACTGCCCGGACTGTGTCGAGGTGCAAAACGGAGCCTCAGACGTGTCCAGGGTGGGGAGCGGCGACTGGCATTGAGTGGATTCAGGTAGGCCCGGGCATCAGGCAGAGTCGCGTGGGATGGGGGTTCCCGTGGAGACCAGGCTGCCCAGGATGGGTGCTGGACATCAGACAAGGTCTGGAGGGGTGCAGGCAGTGAGCACTGGGTGGGAGCACACGGGATCTCGGGGTGCTAGGCACCGGCTCAGAGGGGACCCTTGTGAGCTGTGTCCCGGATCGGTTCCTCGGCGTGGGACAAACCCGAGGCACCCGGCTGACTGGGGTGCCCAGGAGCCAATATCCATTACGCCTGACATGAGCAGAGTTCACCTGTCTCTTCGAGCTTAGCCTGAGTTCAGCAATGGGGAAAGAGCCCGTGTGCTGCAGTCACCAGTGGGAAGGACGCTGCGGGGCTGCAGCCTACTTAGTGTTGGGGTGCGGATGGTGGGGCGGGTCCATGCACCCCAGTCTATCCTGGGAGGCCAGGTCTGCTATCCCGGGTTGCCCCGCCTATTTGAGAAATTCTCCAGGTGGCTTTCTGGTGGATGAGGGTGCTGACTTTTTTTTTTTTGGTATTGGGGATCGAACTCGGGTCCTTGAGCTTGCGCAGCAGGTGGCGAAACCACTGAGCTGAATCCCCGGCCCCATGATTCCTCTCTTTGTAACACATGTGCGGGTCTTTTGTTTGATCTACAAGTTTCTTCTTCCACACTTCCAAAACAGTGTCAGGTATTCTGTCCCAGCCACAAGGAAAGTAGCAAGCGACAACATTGAAATATTTTGACACTGTTTTCTATCTTGTGTATGTGGAGGGTTGAGACAGGATGTCGCTATGGCATAGGCTGTCTGTGACTGTGTAGGCCAGGCTGGCTTCACACTTGCAGAGAGCCTCCTGCCTCAGCCTCCCGCCTCAGCCTCCCGCGAGGTGTCATTACAGGGGTGTGACACCATGCCTTTTTTTTCAATAACAATAAAAACATTTGCCACAGCCAGACATGGTGGCACATTCATGTAACCCCAGCTACTGGGAAGCTGAGGGAGGATTGTTTCAACCCAGGAGTTTGAAACCAGCCTCAGTTACTCAGTGAGACCATGTGTAAAATTCAGTATGGGCTAGGGATACTGCTCAGGGATAGATGCTAACCTAGCATGCACAAGGGTCTGCATTCAATTCCCAGTACCCCAAGAAAAAAATTCATTATTATTTACTATTTATTGTTTATGGCACTAGCTCATTTTCTATTTGAGCCTGTTTTGAGGAATTTAGGAAAACTTGGGTTTTTATGGAAGACAGAATTTTTCTTTGCTTTTCACAGTATATAACTAATGGGTGAAGGAAAGAAGAGTACTGCATTCAATTATTCTGTCTGGTTTCCTTGTTGAAATTTGGAAGAGTCGTCAGTGGGGTGGTTAACATTTTCACTGCTTTGCAGTTTCAAAGTGGAAATATTTTATTGCTTTTAGTAATAAAAAGGTAAATGTAGGTGTTCTTACAAAGCATTAAACTGTACAGAAATATACAAAGTAGAAAATTAAAGACTCCATAATCCCTCTTACATAACCAATTACAGAATTACAGGAAGATTTACTCATAAACACAAAGAAATGTAATAAATACATGAAATTAAAACTACTATGCCCACAAGATCTTTTACAAAAACTGAAATATTAATATGGATCCAATGGAAATTTGAACATAGCCACACTGGGGAGATGGGGGAAGGCAAAGGGGCAGTATTATGGGTTTGAAAATCCTCCTCTATCCTTTTGTGAATTGACAGAAATATATGCATTTTATTGTAGGCTATATATGTGTGTGCATGTGTGTGTGTAAAGCAATGCAAAGTAGTTGCTTCTGGGAACAGAATTTGCTACTACAGGCAAAGTAGATAGGTACATGCTGTGTTAGGTTATAAACCTGTTAGATCTACCTTATATTTTATGGATTTTGGGGGGGTCAGGGATTTTCTCTGTAGTTCAGGCTGGCCTTGAACTCACTATATAGTCTAGGCTGGCATGGAATTCATAGCATCCTCCTGCCTCAGCCTCCCAAGTGCTGGGATGACAGGCATGTGCCACTATACTCAGGTATTTTATGGATCTTTACAACTTCTATACATCCAGACTGGGATAAAGCTAAAAGTAAGATGATGAGGCACCCATATTTAAAAACAACATCCCTT